CTAATTTAACTTCATGTGTAGCAATCTGCCCACCATGCGGAGTTGGCAATATGCACATGGGCTACAGTAGGTACCTAAATCTACATCTGCACCTAAAATAAGTGTCAGATGAAAGGAATTTCTGATATGCGCCTGTGCATTACCTGCCAAAAAGATGATCTTGAGGATTTTGATTTGTTCAATTGGCTAATAATAGTTATTCCAAAAGTATTACATCTTTTTTTTTATGATTCTCGACTTTTGTATGCATGGCCATATTGTCGACACCGTTTTGGCAATAATATGGCCATATACACTTATTTTTTTGCGAATAAGATGAAAATGTTGAAAACTATTTTTCATCGCAACTATTTTTTTCAGGTTCTGAACATGTTAAACTTCATCATGAAGTGATTGCCGTAACTTTTTATTCATAATTAAATTTTCAACAAGAAAAATCGCTTAAGGTGGGCATATTTTATTCACCTACCTTATATTACAAATTTCGATGATACTCTATCCGACAACTACTGATTTATGAATGAAAAAAATAGAAATAATAATTAATTACGGAACTGAGATAGTGCCAGAAGATTCTTGAACAATTTACTATACGATTTTCACCGTAGATTCTGAATCTGAGTTCAAATTTGAATCCAAATCGGATAATTCCTGTATTTGATATGGCGGATTGAGTTTTTTGTCAAAATCCACAAATCACTCTGTATGTCAGTAAATATGAGGTTTTGGGCATTTGTTCATGGCATTTTGCAATCATATTGACAGTCCCTATATAACCCCATAAGTTTTGTCGGTTTCATCTCCGGACACCCTGTGTATACGTATGCCCATTGGGGATCGATTATCTTGCCTAGAAATCAATTCGATGGTATATAATATCTTACGATGATGTGATCCCCATATATCGTCCAATAAACCAAAGGGTTATTATTTCAGGGTTTGCATAATATATTCCATACAACTCAATAATCCAGTTATGATAAATGTGCTGTGACATTGATATTCTTCGTTTTCAATCGAAGCAAAGACGTTTCAATAATGAATATTTAACGATCGACCTCGACAATGCTCCCATCAGATCGATTGAATGGCGTGAATTATAATTTCATAATTATCAGGCAAGACACTTCAGACATGACGTTTAGGGAGTGAGAGGTGGTATCCAAGGCATTTCCATGGATATTCATTCCCAAGAGAAATTCAATCAATACCGGTAACGTCATTAAAATGCCGAACGAGGAGCCTGCCTTATTATTTTACTGACATCCGTATATACCTACGGAAGTGCATTATTTCAATGAGACAGACAGAAGGTACGCTTTTGATTTATTGCGAAAATATAACTTACCTACATTCTACACTACTACACTATACTTTTGCGGAAAAATAAAAATTTGCAGTGAATGAAATATGAATCATTTTTCATCATCTGATACCAGAAAATCACAGAAGGTATACGTTCGCTCTGTTCACGATAGTTTTCTGAAATAAATCTTTCAAGTTTATAACGACTGCCGCGTTGATTTTTCAAAATATAATCAACAATTCATACTGCTATTTTGCTTCAATGAAGATCTGAACAGTCTGTACAACATGATACCAGATATACTCCTGAGGAAAAAAAGGCTTTCATTTCCAACAGGTTTTACACCCAAAAACAGGAAGAGCTACGAATAGATATCAGCTTCGATTATTAATAATTAAAATTTTGTCAGAATGATATGAATAACTTGAGACAAATACCCGAGGATTAGATAGATTATCAGAATATTCCATTGGTACAACTGGCTCGCACTGAGTGAACATTTTGTATGTCATTGGTAAAACTAGTGTCGGGTTTTGAATTCCATTGGAAAACTGGTTCACATAGTTAAGAGCTCAGTGCAACAATTTTCGCACGAGCTCTAATAGGTCGTGTCAAGTCACTGCAGTTTGAAAATGGCGGAAACATTGAATATTAATAATTAGAAAACCAAATTCTTAGTGGCAATCTAATCACCATCATCAAATCGTGATGAAAAGTTGGAGGTTTCAAGAAAATGAAGGAGATGACTTTCCAGAATTAATAATTTTGTTGAAAGTATTTTGCAAATTCAATGATGAAGAGGTAGGTACTTATTAAAAAATGAAGTGCTCAAAATAATTTCCATGAAACATCTACTTTGTATTCAACTGAGGTTAAGAAATAATTTCAGGATGCAGATGAGTCATAAACAGAGACAAACCAATTTTTTGATTGACTCGGCCGTTACTTGATGGAAATGCATGACAAATGTAAAAACTTCACAAACGATAATATTTCCACAAAACTTTTATACACACCACATGTTTCGCTAACACAAAAGCTTCGTCAGGTGATATACTGGTACAATGAACTAAACCAACGTTGGCTTGCTTAACTTTTATATATCCTACTTTCCCAACTTGAAGGATCAATTACCTGTGCACAGGATCGATGAACTTCCATTTTCGGAGGTTTATCGATCCTGTCCTCAACGATGGTTTAGTTCATTGTACCAGTATATCACCTGGCGAAGCTACTGTGTTAGCGAAACATGTTGTGTGTATAAAAATTTTGTGAAAATCTTATCGTTTGTGAAGTTTTCACAGAGACAAACCAACTTATCCGATTTAACCTCCAACAATAATTTCATCATAATATTATTTCGTATTCCATTGGGTATGCACCAGTTCACATTTTAGAGAGAACTAAAGTAGTGCGGGAGCAAAACATGTGCATAACCCGTGCACCACCAGGTTTTAGTGCATAATAATATAATTTTACAATTTATTAATCACGTCTCTCAGTGAGTCATGACCAATGTGATACAGGTGATTGAACCAAACTTACCTTCATACCAAAACGCTCCGTTCAGCCGCAATACAGGGCGTTGGATTTGAATTTTGAATTTTGTAGTTTTATGCAACATCCTGTCTTATTGATTCGTGAATAATTGTGTGCAACATATCCAATATCATTGATATTTGATTGATGATATCATACGAAAATTAGGTATACGAACCTACAATAATCAAATAATTTTGAAAAGTATCAGGTATGTACCGCAAATTGAAATTGGTCATTCATCTTGCAAACCAATAAGACAAGTCACAAACTTTCTGGAGGGCTGGGATTTAGCTATTGAATGAGGGAATAGGAAACAACATTGAGATCTGTTCAGTGGCGTACTCAGAAAACGTTCCATCAAAAAATTTTCGATCAAGATTGAGTATTTTGATTTTTTTCGCCGTGGGCCAAAAATGAGTTTTGATGTAAAACCTCGTGTAAAACTATCCAATAAACGGTTCTGCGGGTGTACAATAATGTTACACTCTAGTTATTGCAGTGTGACATTAATGTTACACCTGGCGGCGAAAGTGTTGGAACATCCCAGCAAACATTTATAAATGGACCATCACTTTCAGAGCAATGTCACCCCAGTAAATTATCATTGGCTTGATATTGGCATTTTTCAATGGTGAATCACAGAAGTTGCTCACTGGCCGACTCAACGCCATAGTTATTGACGAAGCAGTACTTCCATTTATTGCTTTTTCATTGTTGGCCCAGTGATGTCCGACTGACGTTTTTTCAGTTCATCCCCAATGGAAATTGAGTGATTTTATCCTCACACAAAGAATTATGAGGTCATGTATTAAGATAATATATCTCATTACTAGTCTGGAAATAGGGATCTTTCCGTGCGCGTGTGACAAATTCTCGTGTGAGGCGAAGCCGAACAAGGGAAGTCATGCAAGCACGAAAAGTTCATTTCTGGACGAGTAATGAACGATATTTTCATTACACTGCGATGAAAATGAAAATATAATGATGGAAAATCAAATAAAATAGACACAAAAAACTTGGAACATCTACTAATTTTCACAAATGTAGGAATGAAAAAACTTGGAACTTCTAGACCTTGATTTTACTGGTAATAAATTCGCGGTCGCTTGTGCCGCTTGCTCTAGGATATTATCGGGAATTTCGGGATTTTCTTCAGAGTTCATTTTGTCGCCATAAATTTGATTGACAGAAAATATGTTGACAATACAGTGTTAGGCATGTATGATTGGGAATGTCATTCCTGATTCTACAAACATTATTTCAAAAAATCTCTGTTTTTCAGCAATTAAATTCTGAAATGACGAATTATCCCAACAAACACAGACTGGCTGGTCCGACAATGGGACGAAAGTGGTTTGCCGAACTGCCGCATTCGGCCCGCTTACAGCTCCCGGCTCGGCGTGTAGGTAGGGCATGTCCGCCAGGCCGTAAGGTGGGTAATAATCGGCTAGCCAACCATTTAGCCTCGGCAAAGCCTTTGAATAACCGACGACGGTCCGATGGTAGATAGCCGGGCACGGCAGGCCATCGGTGGCTCGCAAGGGGCAACCCTCTTGTAAGCCACCATTTATTCGCCAGACGAATGCGCAGGCGCCCCAAAATTTTGTATTTGATTGAGAAATGTTTTTTTTATGGCAAACTTTCTATCGGGTGTTCAATGAAATATGGTCGTAGTTGGCTGAAGTTACTGAACGTTGATACGTCGTCGTTCGTATGGTTTGATGGCAACTGTTTCTTTTTTTTAAATGTCATCTAATTTTTTGATAGCCAAGACTGAAATGCTTATAATAGGCATCTTAGCCAAGACATTCGTTTTGCCATCCATAGGCGACCTTGACCATAACAATTATTGAACACCCTTTATTAAGCGGAAGAAATGATAATTGTATACAATAATTATGTATAAAATTGATATTTCTAGCTTAAATAGGTGAATATTGGAAATTAGCAATATTCCAATCTGAAATACAACATTTGAAGGTTATAATAATGGATTTTGTAAAAGACGTATGGAATAAAAATTGGAATTATATCAACATCAAAGAAATAATTTTAGCAATTTCATAAATTAAAAAAACATCCTGCTATGGTATTGATTGAGGAATAAAAAAAATACCTAGAATTTCATATAATAAAAAAAAAACACTTTTTTAAAAACATTAGACCATTTATTAGTCACATGACAAAAGAGTTACATATTTACAGAATGATAACTTAATCTTTTAGTTAACATTTTTGAAATGTGTCAATATGTACAGCTTGAAAGAAATGATAAAAAAAAGTTCCCAATATATTATAAGGAACGGAAAATGTGTACACATCATAAATAAAATGCGCAGTTTCAAAAAACTAAACCAAAAAATTAAACTACATTTATATTGATATCAGAAACAAATTATGGAATAACCGTCTAAAAAAAAAATACATTGAAATAACGAAAAATATTTATACATATTTTTTATAGTTCACATCATAAGACTAGAATGTGTCAATGGAATGCTACAAATGTAATTAAAAAATAAATACACAAGATTCTAATAGTAAGGAATCAATGGCGCAGTTTTAAACAACTTGAACAAAATACCCTAATTTATAAATAAGGTAAAACACTCATTTTTTATTTTTTCGATTGGCCCTTCCTCCTGCCCTATCAGGAGCATTTTTCAGCCAATTGCGAATAGCATTATCAATTTCCGAATTTGTAGCGTTTGCTGTTGCCTGGTTTCTTCGAACGGCTCCTTAAAAATATTAAAATGCTGTTGATTGAAGTAGCCAAAACTTGATGAAAATCCGAAATTAATACAAAGAAGAAAATTATGATTTTCACTTTATTTTACGAAACTTTCGTTACATAATGATATGTTTCGACACACTGTGCCTTCTTCAGACAAACTAAATTCTGAACAAAAAAAAAAGAGTTCGTCTGAAGGAGGCACAGTGTGTCGAAACATATTATGTAACGAAAGTTTCGTAAAATGAAGTGAAAATCATGATTTTCTCCTTCTTTGTAAATATTAAAATGGACATATTTATAAAACATGTTTTTCACAAACACGTTAAAAATGCCACTAGCGTTGAAAATGTTAGTTTGAGACACTAGTGCCTCAAAGACTTTATGGCACGTTTCCTTATTTGAAAGAACATTTAAGGCACTCATGTGAATTTCACTTTCACATGCATGCCTTAAAAATGTAATTTCAACACTTTATATCATATTAACATCATTTGAAAAAGAAGATGGAATTAAAAATTGTTGTTTATTAAAAGCTTAAGATGATCAAATTATTATAATGAATTGATATTATTATATCTTACCATATGTAAGTTTCAAAACATTCTCCAGTTTTTGAAAGCTGCCTTTCTCATTTGCCCCTATCCAATTTATATTCAGGGATAGCTCATGGCTCACCAAAAGTGACAAAATTTTTCTGGTTGTGTCGTTCAAATCCCTGCCTCCCAACAAAGAAATTGATGCTTGCTAAAAGAAAATCATTTGGATAAAAAATTACATAAAACAAAAACCTAAAATTTCAAACTGAATAGGTAATTGCAATAATCATGCAATTTGAAATAGCAGAAAAAGGTAATAAAAACTACTATTTTAAAATCAAGTTACCATTTTGTTGAAGTAATCTTCTTCCAATAATGATTCATTGAATTTTTGAAGCTCCTGGTAATCTTTGAAACGTAGCTGAGCATCCAGTTGTTGATACTGGGTCAACTTATTATTGTTTAATTCCAAAACCAGGCTTCTAACATCCAATTTGATCGTTTGCATGTCGCGCAGCAGGCGTTCCACCATTTCTAAAAATCAATTGTTTATATATTTACATTCAACAAGCCGATTATATTGATTACTTGAAGTTTTTTCGCAGTGGCATTCATAGTTGCCTTGATTTGGTGAGACTTCTATTTGATCCTGATTTGGTTTGGGTTTGGGACTACTTGGTGGAAGAAAATAATTATTATTATTTCGCGGTCTATCAACTGGCTTTAGTTCAGCGAATGATTTTTTCTTCGGCTCCTTTGGAAATTTTGGAGGAACAGGAATAATATCATGATCTTCATCATCGCTAATATCGCTTGCCTCAAAATAGACGAAATCTTCATCTCTTTTGGTTGATTTGCACGATTTTTTTTGTGAATTTCTACTTTCGGAGTCTGTTTGTGAAAAATCATCTTCTTCTAATTTTCTTAGCTTTAAACTTGCCTGTTCATAGTCATCTGAAAATACGAAAAGTTCTAAATATTGATTATTAATTTTTTTATTTATTTATGCATTTATTTACAGTTACCCTTTGTGACATAGTTATTTTCAACTTGCATATTTAATATTAATTATGCTTTTTCAACCAATTAAAATATGACTGTATTATTATTAATTACTTACCACTACTATGCTTTACCATGATGGCGCATTTGAGGCATTTATTTGGTATTAAGGGGGTATGGTTTTTAACTACTTTTTCTCTTAAAAGTGTAGACTTTATATAGACGGGCCAGTAACAGTATAACATGCCATGCTCTTCAAAAATCCAACTGCTTGATATTAAAGCCATGCTTATCTCACCATTTTTGCTTTCCTCGGGAAAATCAACAATTAGGTATTGCCTACAATGATGGCAATTAAATAAAATAATAATAATTATGACAAAACCATTACCATAAAATATCACTTAATATGACTTAAACTTTCAGAATCCAAAAAATTGGTGGTTGAATTTTAAAGGTATCTAAAATCGAAATGGAAGCTCACAGAAAAGACGCCTCAACTCATCAGCTAGGTATTATAGAATTAAAAAAAAAATATTATTTTTTATTTGTACAGGGTGGTCCACCAAAAATTGGCACACCACCTGCAGTCGTAATTACAGTTGCTAGTTAAAAAAGATAAATACAAAAGTTGTAGCATTTTACCTGAACCACTAGATGTTTTAATCAAATCTTACAATTCTTACATATAAACATTGTAAATGTCAAATTCTGAAGGAAGTTTCAATTTTTTAAATCGGTGCCCTGTATTTTATTGCATTTTTGAATTTTGATTAAAATTACAAGCTTATTTTATGTATAATGTCCTATAACCAAACTCAACTGTTTCGGAAATATTTACAGTTATAACTTGATATTTTTGCACCTTTGACAGGCTGTAAAACCTTGACGGTTAATTTTAGAGCAATCCCGATTTCACATTCTTGTCTTGTTATTCATAAACTAGCTATATTGACACACTTTGGATTATCTATTTTAACTGGTTTTTGAGATTTCCATGCCTAAAATTTCATATTTTTTCATAATCTGTTAGTGTCAATAATTAATTGATAGCTTATGAAAAATTTAGACTAGAATGTAAAATCGATTTTGCTCTAAAATTGAACTTTCAAGGTTTTAAAGTCTGTCAAAGTTGCAAAAATGTCAAGTTTTAACTGTAAATATTCCCGAAGCAGTTGAGTTTGGGTACAGAACATAATACATGTAATTTGCTTTGGAATTTTAATCATAATCCAAAAATGCAAAAATATACAAGGCATCCCATTAAAAAAATACAACTTCTGTCAATAACAATAATATAGTCCCCAGAGTTTTCTACCTAACAGCTGGAATAAAGTGACTATACCTACTTACCATAATATATACTGTAAATGAAAAAAAAATTAAAGAAAATGATTTAGTGGACAACAAATATACTTATCAAAATGTGGCAATAAAATTGCTTTAGAAACAATTTCATCACATAATTTGCAAACTTCAATATTGCTATGTTGTACTTCAAATAATGAAATAAACGCACTTTCTGTTGGGTATTTCAAGAATGGTTTTATAATATTAATTTTTTTGCCCTGAATATAAATTTTATTTGATTCTGTAAAGAAGCAATCAATAAGCATAATTTCATTATATTTAAAAATTGCACAATTATTTCCAGCATTGGCAGAAAATGTCCAATTGTTACAAGAAAGTTTGGGATAAAATAATCGATCACTACCTACAATATTAATGACTTTTCCAGAAACAGAAATTTCACTTTTATTGGGTTCTGTGACAATGACACGACCTTCATGAATCCTATTGACAACTTGTTGTAAACTTTGATTAGATTTTCTAAGTAATCTCTTTAAAAAACCGAGATAGTTTTCGAAGCAAAAACAATTTATGTTATTCAATGTATCAAATTCTTTTGCATCTTGTGCAAGATGCACTAGAACATGTACATTGTAAATTCCAAAATCTTTTCCATAAATATTAATTGCATTAGTCACAAATAGGCGAAGAAGTTTATCAGCATAGTCATTATAAAGCTTATTCAAGTCTTTACCCAGCAATATTGTCATTGCATACTTAAGCAACATTAAATTGGCAAAAATATGTGGTGATAAAATATCACATAAAAGAGGAGAAAAATATAATAAAAATTGGCGATATTCAGTTGCTTTCCAGTGTTCAAGTTCTTTAATGCTTCTTGGTTTCCTATTGAATTCAATTGGCCAAAATTTTTTTACAGCCTTTAATTTATTTTCAAGAGTTTCTAATTTTGCAGGTGTAAGTCGAAAAAGTCTACTACCATCACGCCAGATAAATAATAATTTTCTCATAACACCAAGACAAACTGAATGCATATAATCAACTGGAAAGCTTGATATCATACCAATATTTATTTCACACAAGGGGCTGATATTTTTATGATATTCATTATATTCTTGATTAATAAACCCAGAATCAGTTCTAAGAGCAGCTTTTGAATCTAAAAATACCATTCTTTTATTAAAATAAGTACCTTTGACAACACATTTATCACAGCCATGATAAGAATTGTGGGCCATTGTTGCTTTTATGTATGCACGAGCTGGTGTGTCACAGCAAAATGACTTACACTTTATATTAATAATAGTTTTGCCAACTTTTAATTTGTTTTCATTTAATTCATTAACTTCTGATACAAATTCTGAAAAAAAATCTTCAAGAGGTGGTTTACCTGGCCCACAGTAAATTGCTACTACAAAAGGGGGTTCTTCTGGATGATTTAATACTCGACACAAAATTGGCCAAAAGGAATCCTTCGTACTCTTATGTATTGGCAATCCATCTACATTAAAACTCAAATTATAGAAAAATTCATTCATTATATTGGGGACTTGATTGGGGATAATTTCATTTTCAAATTTGTTATAAATTTTTATGATACCTTGACTTAATCCAAAGTAATAAAATAAACCATTACCCATTTGAATTGTATTGACATGCCTGGGTGTTTGTAACAAAGTACGAGCATCTTTGGGCAAGTTACTGATATCTGGATTTGTGGAAAACCATTTCAATAGTTCGACTACTGACTTATGTGTTAAATTATTTCTTAATGCCCATCCTCTTAAAAAACTGATGTTTGTATTTTCCACAAGTACAGGGTCAGTTTTATTTTTATTATCTGTTTTGTCATGCTCATTGTTAGATTCCTCGATATCAGAGTCAGAATCTGAGCTAAATATGTGATCCAACTCTGTCTCTGATAACACACTTTCTGTTGAAGGCCCTGCCTGTGCTTCAATACTGTCACTGGGTTTCACTAACCTGTGACTATCAATGAAACTGGAATGACAAATGTTAGAAGCAAGGCTAGAAGTTTCAGATTGTGTCTCAAAATCAGGATCAGACACAATTTGGAAATTAGATTGGGAATTACTTGGGGAATTATTGACATCTTGTTCGAAATGAGATTCACAAATTGAAGATATTGTCTTGGGCTCTGAACTTTTAGATCTCGAAGCCTCGTTTATGGATGTAAAATCACTCAATATTGATTGCATCTGAGTGGCAATTAAACGCCGCTCTTGTCTCTTACTTTTTTTGGGTGCAGACGCCATAATTGGGTTCAAATAGATTCCAGCAAACTATAGTATCTTTTGAAATGTTATCAAGGTAGGTGTATTTGATTGAGTATCTTACATGAACTTGTACTTACAAATTGTTTTGCCCATTCAAAGGGGACTGGGACTCGGACATTTCAATTTTTTAGTTGTTGCCTCCCGCCTACGCTTACTTGAAATCGGAATACAACACAAATCAGCAGCACTAGCAGCAGCCTTTCACAAAGAAACACAAAAATTATCGAATATAATAATTGATAATCATTATCACGGCACACTACTTACCAAATATAAGAACAACAAACAACGCGAATAGTGCTAATATCTGATGCTATTGCATTTCAAATTTAGTAAACACAAAAACTGACGAACCATATTATGATTATGCACAGACGCCACAACAACCGCTACAAAAGACAAGCAAAATGGCCGCGCCGCGATGACACTGATGACAGAGGATGTCAGTCAGTCAAAAATGTCAAACAATGCGGCGCGAATTTCAAACGCGAATGACACAGGGGCCCACGCCCAATTTGGTACCGCTTTACAGCTTGCTAACCGAACGCGGTCCGGAGTCCGGAAGATGGAGCCGGCAAAACATCCTGCGGATCGGTTTTGGCACGAAATATGGTCTCCCGGTAGCGAGTGACCGAGGAGTAGCCACTTTCGGCCCGAAAACATAAAAGCCGCTCTCGGTTTGCCGTTAAGTTGCCGAGAAAATGCCGATTCTTTGTACATTAGGAACGGTATACCCGATCTGGACCGACGGAGGTCCAGATCATGGCTACGTGAGCCACCAGAGTACCGTGCGTGCCGACTGGCGGCCGGATGTTTGCCGATGGCGTTTGGTTTGTTGGGATAGCATAGCGTATATACAAATATTTTTTATGCTTTCATTCATCTCAATTTTCATTTTCATTATTTTTTTTTAACATATATTGAATGATTCTCAGGTGATTCTCGAATAATTTTGGGACCACCGACGAGAATCCGATTTACGGAGATTTACTGAAAGGGTTGATTGCTCTTGATGGCAACTATGATACCGAAGATAAGAAGTTATTTGCTGAATTTGTTTGTCATCTTCCAAAATCGAAAGAGATAATAATTCTCATAATACAACTGAATTATTGTACACTGATAAATAAAGCGATATACTGAGCTCGTCTTCAAATTGGCAACAAGATCAAAGGGACATCAGTTTCATATCAGCCAGATATAAGTTTAGGTAAGATATACTGATAGGATATATTGTGAATAGATTATATAATCCATTCGAACTTTCTAGGAATAAATGAATGGATATACACATAAGCTTTTGACTATGTCATCATTCGTCGTCGATGACAAGATACTAGGAATTGCATTATCTGATTGCATAAGTGTGCATATCAGACGAATATATTAATTCAATGTGGGAATCACAAGATCAATAGTAAACACTACTTGACAAATATTGATTGAGCACAAAAACAAATTCAGTGTGTTTCACTTCAAGTGGGGATAATTCATCAGAGGTCGATTTAATTCCACTAAATGATTCTTTTGAACAGAGGTAGTTTTCAAAATTTTGGTACAGGGTGAAATAGGCTGTTGTATGATTAATAATGACAAGATGAGTCACAAAAGCATTGAATATTAAATGTTTTTGAAAAAACTCTGCGCGTATATTGAATGTCTGGCAACGACAATTGTCACTTTCAGGCAAACCTAATGAATGGTGACAAAAAAGTATACAGGTATTGGCCCATCTGCGTCTCCTTTACAGTTTCTATTACAATCGATTGGTATCACTGAAAATCAACAATGACAAAAATTTACAATACATCAGTTGAAATTGTTTTCTTTTCAATTCGGTATGGTCTAAATTTCTCTAGGAGAGTAAACGGAGACAATTTAATGAAAAAACACAATTCAATGAACATTTCATACAATGCATACATAGAATCCGGAAACTTTGTCATTCAAATTCTATAAATAACCATCACTGATTTGCAATATACCTAACTCAATTTTCTTTCAACTTTGACTCCTTCCACTGTTGAAGTCAACCAAATGAAATGAAATGAATATAGATCAAGTATCAGCATCAGAGGGATTTTCACAACACGGTTTTTTACTTAATCCGTGTTCAGCAAAGCGTTCACATACTTGGAAGAAACTTCGGCATTATAAACAATTTTTCATGGAGGATATGATTCTGGCAGCACCCAATTTAGATGCGACCCCGCGGTAATTTTGAGAATGGGGCACGTGACTGGGGCATTAGGAAGCCGAATTTAGTTCCCGTCATTTCACACACTACGCCAAATTGTTCGATGGGTATAATAACTCGATCACCCCTAGGTCTAACACGGGTAAAGGAGAGAGACTGACAAAGATATTATTATATATGCGACGAGTCATACAGCTGACGCGTAAATCTGTATTGAATGGTATAATAGTTTATCAGTTAAACACTGAACAGTCTCAATGTCGATATAAATGACAAGAAAAAATATCCACATAAATAAAACAATAATATCGTCAATATTCCAGAACATTTGAGGTTTTAAATCACTGTTAAAGAACGAAAAATGTTTCATATATCATACATAAAACTTTTTCGAGTTGAAATAGCCCCTTTATCCTTATTTATTTTGACATTCCACAGTAGGAAGGCAAAGCTTTTGAATTTGCTCGAAGAGAAATTATTCCCTAGAGCTCTGTATATCCAAAAGTTGAGAAAATCCCGATTCCTACCTTCTCTTTTTACCCTCCTATATGTAGTTACACACGATGTTTTTCGAATGTTATAGGATTTTTTCTTGTGCGATCCAAGAGAGGAAGAAAATGTATGGGTTTTCTGGATTTTCTTTCATTCAAGAACAGAGGCTATTTAATAACGCGTCGGAAATATTTTTTCGAAGCATATTCACTTCAATTTCCACAATTCGGATGAAATGACCAGAAACAACTCTGATGGTATTATATTTGGAGGGTTGAAGAATATTTCCACGCGTCATAAAGGCTAAACACTACACGGTTTTACTGTTTTATTAAAGCTGTTCCAATCTTCTCCTGAAGATGCTAACATGGTTGGAGAAACACGTGTCGAGGCGTTTAAAAAATCGGTTTGGTTAGTGGTAAAACAGTGTAATGTATCATCGTGCCAAAGGTTCCAGTCTTCGGTATGTCATGAAGGTTAATGAATCGATAATTGTTATAAATAATGATCAGAATTTGAAAAAATAATCCATTATGAATACGAAACAAAGAAAGATCTTGAGATACATTCTTGTGAGAAAAATAATTTGGAAGAAGTACAGCCAAACCTGAGCTTTTGCTTCGGACGAGGTCATAGGCACCGGGAGTATCAATTACTTCCGCAATATTTCTGTGGACGTTCACTGAGTAAAATTCAAAATAATATCAATATTTGGTTTAGTGAGTGCGAATATATACAGTGCGTTCATAAAGTGTGGAAACGCTCCATTATCTCACGATATAATTATTTTCAGAGGTAAAGCTCGGACAGGTCGATTTTGTATTTCAGTCTTCCATCTTTTTTTACAAAAATATTATTTTTTTCCCCACCACCTTACAAGATTGACGTCATCGATATTTTTTTTGAATTGAAAGGGTATATTTTTATATCAAAAATTGAAAGCCCATATTTTTTTGAGTTCAACCATACCACATACGTCATATCTTACACTTCAAGTTACAGTATACTGAGTATAAAAGAAACCAGTGTTCATATTTCTCAACATTCATTTAATTATTTATTTGCAATGAAAATATCATAAGAAGCAGTGAAAATAAACAAATAACAAATCTACTTTATCTTAACTACTTCTTATGATATTTTCATTGCAAATAAATAATTAAATGAATGTTGAGAAATATGAACACTGGTTTCTTTTATACTCAGTATAGGTACTGTAACTTGAAGTGTAAGATATGACGTATGTGGTATGGTTGAACTCAGAAAAATATGGGCTTTCAATTTTTGATATAAAAATATACCCTTTCAATTTAAAAAAAATATCGATGACGTCATATCTTGTAAGGTGGTGGGGGAAAGAATATTTTTTTCTAAAAAATGATGGAAGACTGAAATACAAAATCGACCTGTCCGAGCTTTACCTCTGAAAATAATTATATCGTAAGATAATGGAGCGTTTCCACACTTTATGAACGCACTGTATACATTCAAATGAGCTTAAAAAAATCTTGTGGTTCATCGTGTTCATTTATCGTTTCAATAATGAGAAGACATCCAGTATATTCGTATTGATATTGATGTATATTGACATCGGATGCGCTATATTGGGTGACATTGAAATCAAGATAAATCGACGTATATTATCGAATAGAAAAATATAGAGATCAAAATGGAATAAACCCAGTTTCCCAACAGAAGTTCAACAATGTAGTGATTTTGAAGTCGCCTATGAACATTTTTTCATTAGTTATTTGGAAGAATTAGGGCAATTCTGATATCACGAGAATATTCGTCAGACTGTCTCATATTGATGTGCTAATTATACAGGGTGTTATTTAAGTACGTGGCCAAACTTGAAGGGGTGATTCTTTGAGTGATTCTAAGACGAAAAGTTCATATAAACATAGGTCCGGTAATGCTTCGTTTTCAAGATACAGGGTGTCAAAATTTTTAAAAGAAATCGTTTTTTTCGTAAATATCTTAATAACCCTTCAACCGATTTTATTGAAATTTGGCAGTGTTATTCAAGGTCATAAAGGGCAAATTTAACCCTAACTATATCAAAAGTATCATGTCCAGTGGCGTCCCGGAAGGCACTGTAACCAATATTTTTGACAGAAAAAATGTGCCTAACTGATTTTCTCGCAATTTTTGTATTTGTTTCACATTGAGCAACTAGAATTACAACTTTTTTATATCCAGAATTTTTTTCGTATCTTGCTTTGTTTTTGAGAAAAAACATTAAAATAACTTCATTGCACATCCCTGTGACAACACAATAAAACATTTCAACTACTAAACCATCAAAAACTGGGGTCTTACTAATATTTTTTCATATTAATACTCTATTCTAGTCTTGGAATTTTCTATCAAAATTATTGCAATGAAAAAACAGAAAATATGTATGCATGAATTGCAGCACTTGCCTTCGGCTCTTGGCTTCGGCTCGTCACAGGGATATGCAATGAAGTGATTTTTATGTTTTTTCTCAAAAACAAAGCAAGATACGAAAAAAATTCTAGATATAAAAAAGTTGTAATTTTAGTTGCTCAATTTGGAACAAATACAAAAATTGCAAAAAATCAGTAGCGCACATTTTTTCTGTCAAAAATATTGGTTACAGTGCCTTCCGGGACGCCACTGGACATGATAATTTTGATATAGTTAGGGTTGAATTTGCCCTTTACGACCTTGAATAACACTGCCAAATTCCAATGAAATCGGTTGAAGGGTTATTAAGATATTTACGAATAAAACGATTTCTTTTAAAAATTTTGACACCCTGTATCTTGAAAACGAAGCATTATCGGACCTATGTTTATATGAACTTTTCGTCTTAGAATCACTCAAAGAATGAACCCTTCAAGTTTGGCCACGTACTTAAATAACACCCTGTATACATATGTATACTAATTTCAAAACACCTCGTATATACTTCTTGATTACATCTTCTCCTTCTACTCCTCAAGGAATCCTCGTTCAATGCAGATCAAATTCCCTCATAGATTCTGAATTAAACTCAATTAGCGGTATATCTCGTCCATATA